GCCCAACCTTCCTTCCGAGGAGTGGCTGGTGGGTTTGAACCGCCAGCCTTCTGGTTAGCAGTCAAGTGCCTTAGCCACTATGCTACCAGAGATCCATAGTGATACTGCCTCGGAAACCCAAGGAGGGGTCGCTATGAGTCGGGGCCGACTCAACAGCAAACAACAACAACAAATAGATTTTGTAGAACAGGTTACAAAAGGAGAATCATTTCCAATTTAGTATTATTTATTTTGCTTTTAAGTAATAAAAAGTAACCCTTTCCGATAATTGAAGTTCAGAATCTAAGATCTCACTGTTAACAGCCCACAGAAATTCCTCTTCAGCCTTTCAGGAAAATGATCCTGAAATGTCTAATTTCTAATTTGAAATTCCACGGGCCAAGTTGCCTTTAACATTTTCAATTAGTTTAAAATTCCCCGGAGAAAAAATTCACATCTGTGAATTATTTTATGAACACAAGGTAAGAAACATACTCTGATACTAACTCTTGTTAAACTGCTGAAGAAAAAGAGGATTAAAAACTGAAACAACAGTTAGGATTTGTAACCGCCTCTGGTACTACGTCACAGAGGGAGGAGGGCTGAAGGAAATGCCTGTGTACAAATCCTAAACAATAGCTGCTACTGCCCTGGAAGGTGTACCCGCAGGCTCAGGGCTATATTTTTCCCTGTTTGCAGGTCTGCATCGGGCTATCTTAGGCAGTTTGGGGTCTCAGATTTGCATTTTCTGTGTAAGATATCAACGATGTATGGCCCTGTGCTGACTCGCAGCTGTTTTTGTTTCTAACAGTCTGTGATTTCTGACATTCATGGCCTTAAACAAGATAAAAGGTTTGAAACTTGATGAAAAAGAGCGCGTAACTGTGGACTACGTGAAGGGAATTCTTCAACCCACACCCACTTGTGAAACCTGGGATCAGATCTGGAACTTCCAAGCCAAGCCTGATGATTTGCTTATTGCTACCTATCCCAAAGCAGGTAGGTAGAAAGTAAGGGTGACAAGAGGCTTAGGAAGGTACATGGGAAAGACACATTAATGATGAAATAAAGTTGATCTCCTGGGAGTGAGTGGAAAATGTTTGCTAGGCAGATCGATATGGCTAAAATAAGTTACTTGTGGAAACTAAAAAAAGAACTGCACAAAAAGTATTAAAATGCTGACCAATTATCAGAATTAAAGTCTTTCTAAACTATGCATATATTTTACTTCTGTGGGAGAAAGTAAAGGAGCTCTGATAGTTTAGTGGGCAAGGCACTGAGCAGTAACCAAAAACTTGGTTGTTTGAACCCACCAGCTGCTCCACAGAAGAAAAATGGGGTGGTCTGCTTTTGTAAAAATTTGCAGCCTTGGAAACCCAGTGAGGGTCGTTATGAGTTGGAAACAACTCAGTGGCAGTGAATTTTAAGGAGAAAGTAAATTAAACACCCAAGAGCAAAAGGGCAGAGATTTGTTTACTTATTGGTTCCCAATGTAGGCCCTTACTGCAGATCTTAAAAAGGCTGCTTTTGAAGTGTGAGATAGGAAGGGAATCCCAAGGCTGATGTAGAAAAAGTAATAGGAGAGCTTTGGTTCTGTAATGCTGATTTCACCTTTGCAGCCCTCAGAAACACTAAAAGCCTCTCATCTCAGGGTCCTAAATCTATTGTTTCCACTTTTCTTCTTGCTGTGTTGTAAATCTATTCCTTATTTTAATAATCAGTTTAACAAAGTTGTCTGTAGAAGTAAAACTACCTTGAACCCAGCCATTGCATCATAAAAACTCTGAGATGAGAAGAAGGAAACAATTGTTCACAGGTAATTGTGTGTATCTACATATATACTAAAAATACAGTATTCAATCCACTTCCCAAAATGTATACCCCTTTGCCATTTGTAAAATTAAGCTTCATGTCAATAACTCCTGCCCTCCCACCTGCACACAAAAAATCTGAACCTAAGCATTTTCTGAGATTGTGGGTTCAAATCCCTCTGTTGTTGTTGTTATGTGCCGTCAGTTGGACCCAACTCATAGCGACGCCTCATTGGGTTTCCGAGACGGTATCACTACGGAAGTAGATTGCCCAACCTTCCTTCCAAAGAGTGGCTGGTGGGTTTGAACCACCAGCCTTCTGGTTAGCAGTCAAGTGCCTTTGGCACTATGCTACCAGAGGTCTCTTTATATCTAAAAATACTAATAAAAGATCTTGTGGGGAGAAGGAGGGATACAAGGGGACTTCAATGTGGAGTATCCTGAGTCTCTTATTCCATTACTTTCATGTTGGTCCTGACTTTCCAATCTTAAATCATCATAAGCCTGTTCAGAATTAAATTTTTCTAAATGTGAATTTCTAAAAGTAACCACTGGCTAGGATCACATCCCACTGCGTTAGATTTATACCCAAAGTCCACAACTCTGTTTAATTTTCATCATTTAAGTACAGTGCTTAACACTTAATCTTTGCTGCAACTACCAAATTTATACTGAGTTTACACTTAGATCACTTAGACCTTTCTTGATGTTAGTGGAATTTGAAAAATACAAAAATAAAAAAATAAATAAAGCAAAATGCTTGCAGCTGAAGTAATAATCATAACGATAACTAAAACTTTATAGGTTAATAAAGGTTATTTTTATTAGTTGAAAGAGGAAACAAACTCTTAATATTTTAAAACATTAATACCATATACTCTGAGTGAGAGAAGGAAAAAACATTTCAGAGAATCAGTGAAATAAGAGGTCATTTAACTCATCCATGAACTTCTGCCCAATGTTACCCCTTAAGGAAAATATCAGAATAAATTATAAAACTAGTACAAATGGTCTTTCTTTGAGTAGACAGCTAAAGAAATCTTGGTGTTTTATCCTATAACCAAAGAGTATATGGTATCAGAAAATATACAAGACTAGCTCATATAGGATATAGGATTATAATTACTATTTATTGTTTTCTAATCTATGCCCTAGACAGCCCTGGTGGCACAGTGGTTAAATGACTGGCTGCTAACTGGAAGGTTGGCAATTTGAACCCACCAGTCACTCTGCAGAAGAAAGATGTGGCAATCTGCTTCCTTAAAGATTTACAGCCTTGGAAACCTGACAGGGCAGTTCTACTCTGTTCTACTAGGTCACTAACAGTTGGAATCAAATCAACGGCAGTGGGTTTTTAATCTATGCCCTTATTGTAGATCTTTAAATTGTGGAATTGAGAGTATGAGAAAAGAGATCTATAATGAGTTGATACCACAGAATGTAGGAAAAATCAACCCATATCCAGGAAGCAGACTATTAAGACAATTTCAGAAAGTCAGCCTAAAATTGTCAAACATCCAACACAGAATTTGTCAGGATTCAACACATAACAGATTTAAAGTGGGAGACTGAGGCCTTTTTCCTGTTGAAGTGGTAGCAGTGATTATGCAACTTCTCAGGTTTAGGGTACTAGACAGTGCAATGTGGAATGGTCTCTGCAAAAAATTTCTATCTGTGAGAGCCACCATCACCTGCCACTTCCTCGGGAAGGATGACCTCTACCCCTCCTCTACCTTCCAAATCTCACAGGAATGCAATGTCATAACAGCATCTAGGACCTTAGGGGCAAGGACGTCTTGGAAATCCACATTTTAGTCTTTCAGCCCAATATAAGGAGAAAAAGAAGAGGGTGAAAACAGATACTGTGCTAATGGAGAATATCAAGCCCAGGCATTTATTCAACCAACATCCATGAGTGCCTTTTACATGGCAGCCCTGAGCTATGTGCTTGGAAAACAGTTTGAAAGCCACAGTCATTAACCTCCAAATCACAATCTCTTGAGAAAAACATTCAAATTCTTTCATTCTCCCTTTCTTAAGAATAATGCATCTACTCAACAGCACAGGAATCCAAATTATGATTATGACAGAAAAAAATAATACACTGTATATTTATCAATCTAATGTCCACTCTAATTAAGCACCTATAAAAAATTCAAATTATGATAGCATGTGACATAAATAATGAATGATGTTTGAATCCTTGTACACCTAACTTTAAAATTCATAGATATTCTAGTAAGTCTGATCATATTTTAAGGAATGTGGTATACTAAATATTTATGCTTTCTCATCTTACATGTGGAATAAGGAACAACATGGACTCAGGAGATAGTGGACTTAATACAAAATAAAGGTGATACTGACATAAGTAAACGAGCACCCATTTATATACGAATTCCTTTTATTGAATGGATAATTCCAGAAATAGGATCTGGTAAGTATTAAATTGCCACACTTGACTAAATTCCTAAACATACACTTACGATTTTTACTATCAAAAAGCCCCTCAAAATTCTAGGCATTCAAACAATTATTGAAAGATTTTATAGCTGTGTCTTTTTTTTTAACTGTGTCTGGCCATTTCTATTCTAAAGACATTTTCAAATGGCATTACTAAAAAATACCACTAAGTTATTAAAAGTAAATTATATTTTTATTATCTAATTAGAAATTAATTTTATTCCATAAGGATGAGCCCAACAGGTTAATTTCATGGTGGAACAGTTTGATTTTTTTAGTTTATTATTTGTGTTTGGTTGTTGGTTATGGTTAGGAACTGCTGTAGCTAAAATATTTATTCATAGGTTAGACATAGTCTCTCAGATCAAATCTATAGACAGTTAGAGTCAGTGCTCTTGCAGCTACCTTGAATTGCTCCTAAAGTAATAATAATAGAAGCAGCAAGATTTTGAAGCAAATAGAGAAAAAAAAAGTGGAAAATGACCAAAAGGCAATTTTTCAGGTTTGGAACAAGCTAATGCAATGCCCTCACCACGGACTCTGAAAACTCATCTTCCCATTGACCTTCTACCTCCATCCTTCCTAGAGAAAAACTGTAAGGTAAAGAACAAAATTCAAAGTTATACTACACAGAACAACTTTGAACTGGTTTCTTTTATTTTTATTGTCTTTTGGCAGTTTTTACTAATATTTTTAATGTGATTTGGGTGAAAGTTTACAGAACAAATTGGTTTCCATTCAACAATTCCTACACATTTTGTTTTGTGACATGGATTGCAATCCCCATAATGTAACTGCACTCTTCCCATTCTTTCCTGTGTTTACCATTTCCACACATTCTTCTTTCCTATCCCTTCCTATTTTCTGAGCTTTAACCCTGGGCAAATGCTGCCCTTTGATCTTGTTTGGTTGATTGTTTGAAGTGCACACCTCCCTGGTGTTACTGCTTACTTTACAAACCTATTTATCCTCTGGCAGAAAGTTGATCCACAGGTATGAGTTCAGTTCCAGGCCTGAAATGTGTCCAAAGGTCATAGTCTCAGGGGTTCCACTATTTTCTATCAGACCAGTAAGCTGGATTTTTGTATTTTTCATGATTTTAAGTTTTGTTCCATATTTTTCTCCCACTCTAACTGAGACCCCCTTAGAATGGTTTTTATCAATTTCCTCTTAAATCTCTTTACCTGGTGTTAAAGGGCTGAAGAATGGGGAACTAGACCACTTCTTCACGTTAATCAATATGCAAATTCATATAAATCCTTTTAATCTCTCACAAAAGCTAGGATCAAAAGAATCCAGCATTTAAAAAATATAAACATTTTTTTTACATTTGGATGAATGCTGATGACATTATGATCAGTGAAATAAGTCAGTCATAAGTATTGTATAAGACCACTATCATAAAAATTCAAGAAAAGGTTTACACATAGAAAGAAACATTCTTTGATAGTTAACAGGGATGGAATGAGGAGGGAGAGAAAATCACTAACTTCATGGGAAACGTGTATTAACTGGGATGAGGGGAAAGGAACAATAAAAAGGAGGTCAGCACAACAAAGGAAGACATAGAGTGAAAAGCAACAATAGCAAATGCTTTCATAGAAACAATCCTGCAGTAACAGCAATAGCAAACAATAAGTTACGGGTGGATACACAGGTAAATATATAAGCTGAACAGATATGAAATGGCATATGGGAGTACACCTATGCCCATGAGCATATATAATTTTGGTAGAGGATATTTCTACATATATATTTGTATGTGTTGCAAATATATCCAGGTATGTAGGACACCATGCAAGGGTCAAACTTCTTAGTGATAAATAATCATCTTGAAAGAATGAGTCACTGGGATTGAGGGCTGGGAACCATAGTCTGGGGGGACATCTAGGTCAACTGCATATACAGTCCATAAAGACAACGTTCTACATCCTACTTTGGTGAGTAGAGACTGGGATCTGAGAAGCTTGTGAGCAATCATCTAAGATACAACTCTTGGTCTCTTCTCATCCCGAACAAAGAAAAGTGAAGAATATCAATGACTCATGGAAATGATTAGTTCAAAGGACTAAGGGTACACTAGACCATAGGAGCTCTGGTAGCATAGTGCCTCAGGCACTTGACTGCTAACTAGAAGGCTGGTGGTTCAAACCCACCAGGCACTCCTTGGAAGGAAGGTTGAGCAATCTACTTCCGTAGTGATACTGCCTCGGAAACCCAAGGGAGGTCACTATGAATCGGGTCCAACTCGACAGCAAATAACAACAACAACAGACCATAAGAACTAATTGGTGCCTGGCAACTACTACCAACTGTTCTGATCGGAATCACAATAGAAGGTCCTAGACAGAGTGGGATAAAATATGGAACAAAATTCAAAGTCATAAAAAAGAAGAGATCTATTCATCTGATAGAGACTTGTAGAATCCCCAAGACTATAGCCCTTAGGCAACCTTCAAATCTGAAATTGAACCCAATCCCCAAGACTACCTTTCAGCCAAACAATAGACAAAACTACACTGTTATTGAACAATAACACTTGTGAGTAACATGATCCTCAGATAACTAACCATATGAAACCAAAAGGGCTGCATTTGTGTAGAACAAAGTTCAGAAGACAGAAAAGATGGAGAGATGAAAATAGGGATCCCAGGGAGGAAGCAGGAAGAGTGTTGTTACATTGAGGGAATTACAACTCATGTCACAAAACAAAATGAGTATAAATTGTTGAATGGGAAACTAATTTGCTCTGTTAACTTTCCCCCAAACAACAACGAAATCTTCATGAAAAAGTTAGTTATTAATCTAACATGACTAGTCTGGATAATAACTCTATATACTTCTAATCCTGTTTTGTGTCTTTCTCTTCTCCCTCCATTCCAAGATAATTTATGTAGCAAGAAACCCCAAGGACAATATGGTATCTTACTACCATTTCCAAAGGATGAATAAAGCACTTCCTGATCCAGGAACCTGGGAAGAGTATTTTGAGAGTTTTCTGGCTGGGCAAGGTGAGAATTCACCTTCATTTCCTTCATCAAAATACCTCCAAAAGACAGAATCATTTCCTTAGAACAGCAAGGGCTCTGCTTTCTTTAATAGGAAGGAATCATCAGTGTAACATTCCCCTCTCTTCAAGAATTCTCCTTTCAGTGGAATATTTGTGTTGGTTGGACTTCTTCTGTTACTCACTGTCTCATTTTTCATCCCTGTCTTTCAGTGTGCTGGGGTTCATGGTATGACCATGTGAAAGGATGGTGGGAAGCCAAAGACAAACATCAAATTCTCTACCTCTTTTATGAGGATATGAAGAAGGTGAGAGCCAGTATCGTCTAAAGTGTTTCCATCAAACATAAAACACTGAAGTTATAATGTATTGACCCCAACAGGAACTCATGGATTAAAGCAGAAAACAGAAAATTGATGCATTTGGTCTCTAAAGTTGTCCATGCACCAAAAGTATACAGGGGATACCATAAGTTTATGCATCACATGGGATCACTTACAACTTTCTGGTTCCATAGAGTATGCCACAATTTCACTTATATGCAGACTACTGCAGAATATTAAGGATATTTCTCCTAGTTTTTTTTTTTTTTTTTTCCTTTCACATGCATTCTAAAATTCAGTTCACAAAGGAAAAAAATATTCCTAGCATCAGTGTTGTTTTTTTCTTTTTCTTTCTCCTTAAGAGCACTAGAGGAACATCATAGTTTCAAGAAACAGTTTAAGAAATAATGGTGTAATAAAACCAAAAAACCACTGCCATCAAGTTGATACCAACTCATAGCAACCCTATAGGACAGAGTAGAATTGCCTCATAGGGTTTCCAAGGCTGTAAATCTTTATAGAAACAGATTGCTTCATGTTTCTCCTGTGGAGAAGCTGTGGGTTCATACCACTAACTTTTTGGTTAGCAGTTGAATGCTTTAACCACCATTCCATCTGAGCTCCTATAAGGGTATAATAGATTACACCAATGATTAAGGTTAAATTTTTTTAATTCTAGTCCTGGCTTAGGAGCTCTGGTAGTGTAGTGCCTAAGGCACTTGGCTGCTAACCAGAAGGCTGGCAGTTCAAACCCACC